TATGATCCAACAGCATACCATACAAGTAGTGGTCGGTCGCATGCATATGCATTGCGATGGTTCCGGCCGACAAAATTTATTCTTAATGCATGTCCAGAGATGTTTTGTTGTATTACCTATCCGTTTCTTGATGCTCTGTGCTGGGCATACGACCTAATTAAAACTGATTCAGTTGGCAAACCATATATCCATCCCCTAATCAATCCTTTGCATCAGGCAAAAACACACAACTAATTACAAGTCAAAACAAATATCAAAAAAAAAAAAAAAAAAAAATTACAAGTCAAAACAAATATCAAAAAAGAATTATGTGTACGTTGAAAAATTGAAAACCATAACCGAGTGGAAATGTGTCCAGGTTGTCCAAAAAGAAAAAAAAAAAAAAGGGAGTTAGTTGAAGATGTCAGGGCAACCGGAAGTCTATTATCCATATAGCCAATTCTGCAGCGAGAGATATCATATCACACACTACTGTGTCTTTATCAAGACATTAAAATCAATCAAAATACATGTCGCCAATTTCCCCTTCTGGATTCCACAGAAAAAGTTAATCTCAATGAATTACCCCAAACAGTAAAAGATTGTTTGAGTTTCAGTGGGGAAGAAAAAGAGATGCGAATGTGTGTGTGAGCGTGCGGTCACGACGCTGACAAATACTAGCAGCACGTTGGTTGGATTGGAGGCGGCCCACGGTCGGTTGGTCGTCCTTTGCTACTCTATTCAGTACTTAGTAGTATTCAACAGCTGCCACCCCCCCCCCCCAAAAAATCCCCCCATACGTACCCTCCCTTTCAATCAAAGACAACATTTCTTCCCTCTTTACTTCCTTCCTTCTTCCCATTTCTCCCAGTACCAAACGCAAGAAAAAAAAAACAGAGAGAAAGACCCCATTTAACTTCCCAACCTGTTCGTTCCAGACTCCTCTTCACATCTTACTCTTTCTTAATTTGCTTCCCATACACAATTGGACATGAGGACGCTGTGCCCCAACTTGGATAGAGAAGATGCACTGGAAACAGTGCTTGAAGTTCCCATCCCGGAAGAGATTTTTGCTTCCACCAAGAACAGGTCCTGGCAAAACGTGAAATCCTGGATGAAGTCCCATACTGAAAGGTCACCTGTTTCCCTCTTTGGTGGCCGAAACACGGAGATTCAGCTCCTGCTCGGTGTCGTTGGCGCTCCTTTAGTCCCCCTGCCCATCTGCTCTGATCGCTATTCTTTTAGCAAAAGCATCAAAAACCACCCCATTGTAAGTCCTTTTACTACCACTAAACCTGCGTTTGGTTTTCTACCAGAGTCAGAATTAGAATCAGCGATAACTTCTCCATCACTCAGTACCGATTCCTTGTCACGTATCACGAGACTTATAATTCTGTTAATCCTTGCAGGAGACTTCAATGGCTAAATACATAGTGCAGCAGTACATAGCAGCTGCGGGAGGAGAAAATGCTTTAAACTCAATCCATAGCATGTACGCGATGGGAAAAGTCAAGCTGGCCACAACAGAAGTTGTTGCCGGGGAAGGTCTGAGTATGAGCTGTAACAACACGAGCAACGGTAAGGCTTCGAAGCTCAAGAGCACGAAAGGTGGACCAGGGGAAGTGGGAGGATTTGTGTTGTGGCAGAAAAGGCCCGATTTATGGAGCCTGGAATTAGTGGTGTCTGGTTGTAAGATCAGTGCTGGTAGTGATGGCAAGGTGGCTTGGAGGCAGACCCCATGGCATCATTCCCATGCATCTCGCGGTCCACCCAGGCCTCTCCGTCGTTCCTTGCAGGTACTTTTAGTAGTGTTTTTTACTTTTCTTGTCCTCTTTTAATTTTACGTGTCACCTTTCCAAATTTTGTTTTCTTAATTGTCTTTAACAAATTCGCTTGTAATTTGATAGTTGCTTAATTGCACTTAATTGCATAAGAGCAAGTAATTATTTGAGTAGCAAGAATTGAACCAACCGGCAAGATTGAGGAGTAGGTCACTCCTTTGTCTTGAACAACGAAATTGAGGTCACTCTTCATCAAAATTGTTGGGTACTATTGGACCCTCTTACTGCAACCAAACCAGTGTGAGATAAACCTAACAATTTCTGTCTCACACATCGACCTTAGGTTGGATCATATCTTCATTCTCAAATCTTTATCGAGAGGAGTTAGTTGTGACGGAACTCGATAATAATATTGAGTGCTGTTGAATTCTCCACCCCTAAAAACTAGTTCAAGAAGTGAGGTTTTCTTCACGCTTACAGCTGAGTATCATGTCCTTGGACGAGGAATGAACCTAACAAAAGGTAGGTGTGAACGGGAAAATATGCATTGGATGTTTGAAAATTTTTTCTCAAAATGGACAGTTCCTCCGTTTTTTTGTTATCTTCAGAGGAGGAAGGCGCAGCATCGCTTTCATCTATCTGGAAAACTGGAACCTACAACAAAATCCAATTGGATGCTGACTTTAATGAGGACTTTAAAAAGGTCCGGCTCCAAGTCTATCGGTTTGAGTTCCACCATCCACGTTCTTAACCACCCAATAAACCAGTTCAATTCCAATCTTTTCCAAGTCTATCTTCTAGTGGACCCAATTCCAAGTTGGACTAGCTTAAAATAATTCTTTCCGCTTTCCGTTGGAGTACAATCATCGTCATCAATTGGTCTATGCCCATTTTATGCCGGTATGAAAGCTCCTTCATTTGGTCCAAGCAAAAGTTGTAAGAATTGCATTTACACGGTCTGGTAAAGCGTCAATTAATTGGTGCACATCAAATTGGATCAAGTGGTCCTCCCCCTGCGGAAATGCAATTAGCTAATCAGGCGGAGGACTTCACTGGTTCAGGCCCATTTCGTGGATCTTGCACTGTCTTAAGCTGGCAAATCCATTTGACTTAATTGTTTTTCTTGGTGCTGGATGGAATCTCTTGAAAATTAAGCTAATTTTCAAGATATAATTACTATTGAAGATAAACTATGCTGTGGGTTTATTACTATTGAAGAAATTGAGCTAATCGATTCTATTGAATCATCCTCCAACAGGGTCTTGATCCAAGGTCCACGGCCAACTTATTCTCCAATTCCATCTGCACTGGTGAGAAGACTGTCTATGATGAGGATTGCTTTGTACTAAAACTCGAGGCAGATCCTTCAACACTCAGAGCCAGAAGCAGCAGCAATGTGGAAATAATCAGACATAGTGTTTGGGGCTACTTCAGCCAAAGAACAGGCCTGCTACTCCAGCTGGAAGACTCTCATCTCCTGAGAATAAAGGCCCCTGGAAACGACGTTTTATGGGAGACAACAATGGAATCCACGATACAAGATTATCGGACTATTGATGGTGTTAATGTAGCCCATGCTGGAAGAACATGCGTATCGCTGTTGAGGTTCGGAGAAAACTCTGAAAGCCGCACCCGGACGCGGATGGAAGAGGTTTGGACGATTGAAGAAGTTGATTTCAACATAAAGGGACTCAGCATTGATTGCTTTCTGCCTCCAGCCGACTTGAAGAAAGAAGATGAAGGCTGTGGCATTGTTCCTAGCAGCAGGGTATCACGAAATGCAAAATCGCCCTTCAAGGTTCGACCAAATGCTTCTTCTAGAGTCAGTGCAGCAGCAAAGAGTGCTGCAAAAGTTGCGGCCATCGATGAGGATGATCTAGAAACAATCGAAGATGACGACGAGGAATTGTAAATTTAGCCTGTGGTTATTTTTGTACATACAGAACCACGGTACAGGACACTGTATGACATTATTATAGATGTGTCTAGGATGCGTTCGAGTCGAGTCGAGCTTGAGCAGTGCTCGAGGTAAAATAACTAAACTCGAGATCTAACTCGAGTTCATCGAACTTTTAGAATTCGACCTCGAGTTCGAACTCGACATCAATTTACGTTACTCGAGTTCGAGTTTAATTAAATGTAATCAATTCAAATCAAGTTCAATCAAGCATATTCGAGCTCAATCAATCCTAATCAAACTCACGTAATAAAAATTAATATTTTATATATAATTTTTAATAAAGGATATTATTGATATTTTACAATAATAAAAATTAAAATATATATTATAAGAAGGTCAATTAGGCTCGTCGAATTTCCGAATGCAAAACGTTAAAACTCGAGCTTGACTCATTGCTTCTATCAAGCAGTTCGAGCTCGAGCTCAAGTTTGATCAAAGCGAGCTCGAGGCGAGCTGCTGACCAAATAGTTTGCGAGCTCGGTCAAACTACTCAGTCCAGCATCAATCCTAGATGATTTAGAATTCAAGGATTGAACATCACAAGTATTTTTTTTTCTAAAGTTGTTTCATCTATATATATATATATATATATCTTTGAGATAATTCAATGCTTCTCGGGCACCAGCATGGTAACTCGATTATTTGGGCTTCCTTTATTTTATTTTTATCACTTAATCATTAGAATATTCGATAGCGCTGATACACCCGAATATAGAACATGAATATGAAAGAGTTACACTAAATGGAGGGAGTCTTATCACACTAACAAAAAAAATGTGCGTTAAAAATCTATTGCTCTACTGCTAGAAAGTAATCAATGTGCGTTTGTTTTAACTTGCACCCCAATTTGATTGATAGGTCAATGTTTACGAGCTAAGTGAAACGAATTTGGTATTTTCTTTAACAAAATATTTGCCAGATTTATTTATTTTTATTATTTTTTAACAATGTAGATATCTAAACTATTTTAGTATTAGTCGGTGGGGCACCACTTTGGCGACATCAATGCGAAATATGACGAAAGTCGAACCCCTAATTACTGTGCATTAGAAAGTGAAAATCCGATTTTCAGAAAAAGTTTAGTGTGACAAATTCATTAGGTACCAGAAAATTCCAAATTTTTTATGCTCTCCCCTCAAAATTGAAAATACTACCCTATTTACTTGAACCATAGACATTTTTTAATGGGCACACGAGTAATGTCGGCCAAAAAAAAAAAAAATACTATTAGCAATTAAACCGATAATGAAAAAGGGCAAATGAAAAGATGCGAGACAACTTGTTCGAGAACGTTCTGCAACTCGCACAAATTTTATCCAAAACACCATGTAAATAGTGGCCAGGTCCGCCAATTACCTTCTCGATCAACCCGTTGATTTTGCACTGCAGATTTCGCTAAGAGAACAACCCGTAAACACTCCTAAGAGTGAGAGGAAAAAAATGTCGATGGTTCCAAGCTTCTTCGGCCGCCGATCCAGTACTCCCGATGAAATTTGGGACCCATTTCAGGGCTGGCCTTTCAACTCCGACTTTAGCCCATTCTCCGGTCAGCTCCGCACCACCTTTCCGTCCTCCTCATCTGAGACTGCCTCGTTTGCCCACGCCAGCATCGACTGGAAAGAGACCCCAAATGCCCACGTGTTCAAGGCGGACGTGCCGGGGCTGAGGAAGGAGGAGGTCAAGGTGGAGGTGGAGGACGAGAGGATCTTGCAGATCAGTGGGGAGAGGAAGAGGGAAATCGAGGACAAGGGCCACACGTGGCACAAGGTGGAGAGGAGCAGCGGGAAATTCATGAGGAGGTTCAGGCTCCCTGAAAATGCTAAAGTGGAACAAGTCAAGGCATCGATGGAGAATGGGGTTCTGACCGTCACTGTCCCTAAAGCAGAAATCAGGAAGCCTGATGTCAAGTCCATTGAAATTTCTGGCTGATTTCCGAGTCGTCGTTTCTGTTATGTCTGCGTCCTTGTCTTTCTTTCTTTTCATTTTTTTCCCGTCGTACTAGTGCTTATGTCCATAGTAGTAAGTTTTTAGGGTCCAATTGGCGAATTCCGTCAGTGGAATGGATGTGGATGCGTTCGCTTCTGTTAGTGCTAGGGGAAGCGGTGGTGTATCTATTACTGTCTAATGGCAATCAGAGAATGACTCGAACTACGGGTTATAATTTGGTAGTATCACATTCTCCCTTTTTTGGACTAGTTTCTTGTGAGATTAGTGACTTTGCATCTAAGTTTCAGGTATCTTTGGAAACTGGATAATGTTACAACGCAGTAACTAGCTAGCAAATTGGATCGTCTAATTTGTTAATAATTGATTATTATTTTTTTTTTTAAATTTTGATTTTGATGTTGGGTTTTGGACTTTGGATTTATACCGGCCGAAAGATGAATAAAACTTGTGTGGCCATTGACAAAACTGTTTACGATAGTTTTGACAGCATATTCTGGTAGTAAGACTTTCCACTAGTAAAATTTGGAGTTGGCGTAAAAGAGGGAGAGTGTATTTGCATCTCTAGCCTGCTATTGATTGACAAGACGGGATGTGAAGAAGAAACAGAATGATTGATGGCGGGGTAATCAGCAAATGTACTTACGGCGCCCTGAATGTCTTTCACCCACAATTGATTTATTCTGCTATAATACCGTCATTCATGCTCTAAAGAAGCAGGTGAAAGAGATTAGCCAATTGGCTGGCAGCTAAATGAACTCGCCGAGAACAGAGCATCAAATTACCGTTGGATACTAGAGAAAATATGGGTTTGAGCGTTCAGTCTGATTCTCGAATTGACTGTTTACGGAGGAAAGCAATTCACGCAATCTACGATGACAAGGTCTTGGCTAGGAGGAAGCCGTAATTCATCCAGTGAATTGTTTCTGTGTTGTGAAAATTCTGAAATCAATCGCTGCTACAAACACTTGCAGATCTTGAGAAGAAGGTTTAAAATGTCAAGAACCTCCTTTAAATTCCTAATTCAGCATCACAATCACTCCATTCTTTTGGCTGCAGGTAGAATCCATTCCAAGTTGAGTTCATTTAGCCTACTCATTAGAAGACGGTGGCAAGAATTGAGTATTTATCGATGCTTCATTTCAAAACAAACCAAAGCCTACTCACTCGCGACTCATTAAACAAAATTCATCATCATCCATGCAGCAACCACAGTCATGCAGGCAGACGGAGACATCTCAACCATTTCAAGACAAAGACAAACTTCCACTAGGCTTAGCCATCTAAAAGCATTTAGCCAGAGATCTCAATGGCCTTGACCTCAGGCTTCTTCGCTTCCTCTTTCGGCACAGTGACGGTGAGCACACCATTCTCCATGCTAGCCCTCACCTGATCCGCCTTGGCATTCTCCGGCAGCCTGAACCTGCGCCCGAATCTCCCGCTCCTCCTCTCTACCATCTGCCACTTGTCATTCTTCTCCTCTTGCTCCCGCCTCCTCTCTCCGCTAATCTGCAACACCCGGCATTCCTCAACTTCCACCTTCACTTCCTCCTTCCTCAGCCCCGAAAGATCGGCTTTGTAGACGTGAGCTTCCGGGGTCTCTTTCCAATCAATGCGGGGCCTAGCAAATGCATATGTCTCGCTTGCTGTATTTGGGACGTTGGCCAGACTAGCGTCTGTGAAAGCCAAGCCTACGAAGGGATCCCAAACGTCCAGGGAATATGGGTCGAACACGTTGCCCCGTCGGCCACCGAAGAGGCTTCGAATGAGCGACATTTCGGATGTTTTTGAGGAAAATTGATGACAATGCTGCTGTTTTTTTATGTATCACGGCTTTTGAAGAAGAGAGCTGATTGTACTGAGAGCTTCGATCAATTCTTATCGACGACGAAGCCGACGAAGGAGGTTCATATTTATATCAAAGAGGAGAGGCAGAGCCTGGAGTTTTCAGAGGATCTTCTGGCCACTTGAGATCCTCAGTGACATGTTTTCTATGCCAATCCAATGCCATCAATAGTATTGCGCAAAGTGTTATGTTATTATTTAAACTTGTATTAAATCAAGCCAAGTTGAACGCAACGGATCTTTTGTACCACACCCTGTCTCACATCCTGTCCCATTCTTTAGAATCTCGTCAAGTGTCCCTTAATAAACCAAACCCTCAAACAACCCAACTCGAACCATATTAAGTTAATTAATCGATTAACCGGGCGAAGAAACTTAATCCCTTTAACCATTATAACCAAAACCAAGAAAAATAAAAACTCTTTAATCAAAATCACAGTTTATCAACGAAAAAAACCCTAAAATATTAAAAAACCTCTGTCCTCTCTTCATCATCTTCACCGTACTCTTACGGTTGTTTCAGCCTCTGCTTCACTGACGACTCTTCTTCTTCCTCCTTCGGATTCCTCAAAATCCATTTCCCTTTTCCCCCCTCCAACCCATCGATGGAATTCCAACGACTTTTTCAAAATTGTCACCTGCGCTCCGCCGAAGCATGGCATTCACTCCACTGAAGCAATTGAAACTAGTATCGGGTATCAAGATGCTATCTTTATCTTTTGCCTTTCTAGAAAATCCAGATTGCTTTTTAGTGCCTATTGGACGAGTTTATTGCGGTTTCATTTTTTGTTCTCTCGGTTGCGATTTTTTTTTTTTATTTGTGTTGCTTTTTTTTCTTTCTAGCTACGCAGGCCAATTTGATGTAATTTGCTTAGCTTAGGCACTTGATCTAGTTTTCAACTTCAAATTGGTATAGATACACACATTTGAATTAGTTTTGCTATATCCTCAACTGCATGTGTGTAGTAGTAAGAAATTGGTTATATTCTCTAGTGTCTCTGTTTTAGTGTTTTGGAACTTAGGTGTAGATGATGAAACTAGAGGGTAACAAGTTTGCCTTTATCTTTTGTTTGTATGTGTGGTCTTTTATTTCTTATTTTTCTGACAGACGTTGGACCCTAACTTCTACCAAGGCTATGATTTGATGTCTTCAAGTTCAATAGCACAACAGCATGCATCAATAAGTTTTGTCCAAGTAAGGAAAAACCTTGATTAATTATTTAATCTTATATATATTAGTTTGATAATTTACAATTATAATTCAATATATTGGCTAACTTTGGGTCTGTTTTTATAGGCGCAAGAACTTGAAAATAATGATGATTCTGATCAACAAGTTGTTGAAAATGGGAAAATTGAATGAAGATGCTTATGAAGAAATGGAGGACAAGACTGTGGGATTGCGCTCATGGATTAATTAGACCTTATTTGTGTAGTTCTTTTGATTATGGTGGATGATCAGCTTGGTTATTCTTGAGCTTGATAGCTGGAATTGGATCTTTTTATCTCTGAGATTTTACATGGTAGGATTGTAGCTTAATTCGAATAACATACATTTTGAACTTTAATAAGAACCAGAATGCAGCCTTATTCCACTTTGCGCAGTTGAAATCTCAATTGATTTAAGTTGATTAATGTTTTGCTTTTTAGACTTCGTGGTCTGTTTACATTGCATTGTGAATACAAGGATCCTAATGCCTGGGCTACCTTTCGTCTGTGAAATTGCACGTAGTTTGTTTCCATTTATAAAAATCTATAGGGACACTCCCAGGATTTATTTGGCCATGAATTTCGTACCAGGTTGATGAGGTTTCACTGATGGAAGAGACTAATTAGATGCTAAGTTTCACAACTCACTACATACAGGGATGGCAAGGGTGAGAATATGACTGATCAGATTTTGATTTTGAGTGGCCTTTTCTGCTAGGAATAATTTTCTTTGTTTGAGTTTTATTTAGTGGGTAATTGACCAGAATTATCTGAAACTGATGCATGGTATAATATTGGACCCGAACGAGAGACCTCTGCTCTCTCTCCATCCTTTTTTTTTAACTCATTTTTTGTGTCATTCATGTTAAAGGTACTCCGAAAACTTGTTCTCTGATTCTAAACAACTCGGGACCAATCTCGTATTTGACTGTTGACACCAAATTGTATATATAATCCATATAACAATGCTGAAATTCCCAAAATATGTCCATAAACTAGGCCCTGTACACCTTTGCACCCTTCTCTTTAGCACATTGAGCCATCCAACTCACAGTCTGGCTCCCATGGTCAAACATATTCAACAGCCTCTTGTTCGAATGGGAAGGATAAGATTCAGCAACAATTTAAATGCAGATCCTCTACTAATAGTAAAAACAAGTACAAACTCATTCTCAAGAATGTTCAAGTAATCCATAATTTTGGTTTTAATATCATGCTCCACAGTACCTTCCTCTGCACACCAATGAAGTACATGATTGCTCAAATTTGCAGTAATTTCCTTTAAGCTAAATATAGATGAATCCCAATACTGTAGCGTTTGAAAACAAAAAAACAACCCGTACAAAGTCAATTCTCAAATGGTCAATTGTTTCTCAACATTGGAACTTTGGGTACAAAGTCAAGAACCAACAAGAAGGCTTCATTAAAGCCAGGAATGGATTCTTCAATGCAAAATGTCCTTTCAGACAAAAGAGTAGTTGCCCTCAAGAATTCCTTCTGGGCATTAAGCCTTGCAAGAGATATTGACCTTCCCAAGCAGCCATCTTGATTCAAAGACTCAGAGTGAATTTCATGTGTTTTTACGAAGTGACCCATCTTCAGAAGCCTCCTCGAGAGCCTCCCTTAGTTTGTTCTCCGGCGAATTCTTGAGAGTTGATGGCTCTGCCTTACCCCACTCCTCCTCCTCCACGCAAGAACCTTTTCCTCTCCTGCTCTTCTTGTCCATCATCAAGGTTGCACAGAATGATATAGGCTTCCATAGTCTCAGATGCAGTAACACGAATCAGTTCCAGTTGACTGCAAAAACCTATCATCATATCAGATACCCCTGCAGTATTAGGGAAAAAGTTACAAGCTTTACATGATTGAAGCTTCATTATGCATAACATTCTGCAAATAAGAGATTACAATTATCTAAGTTACATAATTTTCATAAACATTGAACTTTGTAAACAGTAACAATGAAGTGAATGAATACATAAACCCTGTAACTAGTCACACTAATGCATGTCAAGATGGCACCTCTATCCATATAGACCAAAACCAGAAAACCATTTGAGAAAACAGTGATCACACATGTTTCTTGGCTTTAATTCATAGTTACAGAATAAAAAAAAGAGCTTTTTTTTTAGAAGCACTTACCTTTAGGCCTTATCAGGTTTTAGATGATCTCATCTGCCAAAGACAGAGATAGATTTCCCAAATGAAACCAGCAGGTTGACCAATAATACTACTACGACTAATCAAGATTATGAATCAAAGACCATCCATTCATTGTTGATCAATAATACTACGACTAATCTAAGATTATGAATCAGCATTTGATAAAAATTTCAACTCATGGACTAATTATCAAATGCATCAAATAAAATTGCGACACGAAAGAGTAGAAGGGAGACAAGGATCGCATGTGCCAGCACAAAAAGGTAACCATCATGCAAACTTTAACATATTTTCTAACTACTAATTACAAGCCTACAGGTAGTCCTAATAAACAAAATCAAACGTATAAAACGCAAAACACCCTCCTAATAAATATGGGCTCAAGTCTCAACCAAGTCAGACTTTTACCTTATAGTTTGATTCATCTTCCTCTTAGGCATTTGATCGAACAGCTGGTGAGCTTCGTCCAGTACATACCGAATTTTCAGAAAATTTAACAGATGAAACATTTGAAGTGGAAGCTGCAAATTAGAAGAAAAATTCCCTTAATCAGCAAAAGATAAAGGCAAACTTGTTACCCTCTAGTTTCATCATCTACACCTAAGTTCCAAAACGCTAAAACAGAGACACTAGAGAATATAACCAATTTATTACTACTACACACATGCAGTTGAGGATATAGCAAAACTAATTCAACTGTGTGTATCTATACCAATTTGAAGTTGAAAACTAGATCAAGTGCCTAAGCTAAGCAAATTACATCAAATTGGCCTGCGTAGCTAGAAAGAAAAAAAAGCAACACAAATAAAAAAAAAACCGCAACCGAGAGAACAAAAAATGAAACCGCAATAAACTCGTCCAATAGGCACTAAAAAGCAATCTGGATTTTCTAGAAAGGCAAAAGATAAAGATAGCATCTTGATACCCGATACTAGTTTCAATTGCTTCAGTGGAGTGAATGCCATGCTTCGGCGGAGCGCAGGTGACAATTTTGAAAAAGCCGTTGGAATTCCATCGATGGGTTGGAGGGGGGAAAAGGGAAATGGATTTTGAGGAATCCGAAGGAGGAAGAAGAAGAGTCGTCAGTGAAGCAGAGGCTGAAACAACCGTAAGAGTACGGTGAAGATGATGAAGAGAGGACAGAGATTTTTTAATATTTTAGGGTTTTTTTCGTTGATAAACTGTGATTTTGATTAAAAAGTTTTTATTTTTCTTGGTTTTGGTTATAATGGTTAAAGGGATTAAGTTTCTTCGCCCGATTAATCGATTAATTAACTTAATATGGTTCGAGTTGGGCTGTTTGAGGGTTTGGTTTATTAAGGGACACTTGGCGAAATTCTAAGGAATGAGACAGGATGTGAGATAGGGTGTGGTACAGAAGATCCGTTGCGCAAGTTGAAAACATGTCACCGAGGATCCTAAGTGTCCTCTGTCGAATATTTTCTACCCACTTTTCTATTCAATACAAAATTATACAGTTGTTATAAAACTAATAAAATAAACCACTATAATATCAAGTGAAATATTGGAGATATTAGAGAAAAAAGTAGAGAAATAAAGAGTGGTTATTTTATTATTCCAACTAATACAAAAGTCCTACCAAAGGGTGTCAATGTACCTCTATATATAGGTACTACAAGATTAAAGGAACATTAATCCTATTAAACACCCACTATTACAAGAATATGAAGAAACCTATGAAACGGTTCTTCCACTACATGAATAGATTTATGGATTGTAACTTCTATACATAATGTAGCCATTAAGCAAGAATTAATCTTCTTGGGAATACAAAGGGACATCCATACTTTTAATTGTTTCATAACAACAGTTTCATTTATTACATCTGTTGTTGTTGACGTGGCATTTTCT